ATACTCTTCTATTCGGGGCTTAATCTAAATTTAATCGCAACTCCAACAGTTGTTCTTTTAACCAAAAATAATCTGTTGATCTGAAAGGTCAGTATGTAGATAAATATTTCTAATATTACTTTTATTTGTAAATGTTTATTATTGTTATTACAACACTTAGCAATTTAAGGTATATTTTTATATTGTTGTAATTAATCTATATATCTATGTAAGCGTATTTCCATAATGCTATTTCTATAATGTATTTTATAATATCTATATTTTGTTATATATATCACATGTCTGTACAATGTAAATAATAAAGTGGTATATCTCCAAAAACTGAACTAAGGATTAAAATTGTAAAATTCATCGGCATAATTGTGCAGAACTATAATTGTGATTGGAACCCAATATTTTTATGCCGACATTGCACTCGGCCTTTATCAGAGAAGTCTTTCGAGTGCTAATGGTTAATTGTTTCCATAAATGTGTTTTAAAAAAAGGCTTATTTTCCGGAAACGTGAACGCTTTGATTGCGTGCTAACGTTAATTAACCTCGCATGTGCGAAGTGAGAGAGCAGAGAACTGGATTACGTACAAGTAACATTTTCAGCGCATAACTAATTACGGCGGAATTTATTACGTAAGCGCGTGAAAGTTCGTTAATTAAGTGCGGTAATTTCGGCTCTTACTTTTGCCGTTTTGAATTGAAATTGGCTATAAGTAAAATCGTCGAATTGATTGCAGCGTGAATAGCTTATCCTATTAAAGCGATCCAGATAATTCAGTGAATTTTAATATCGGCATAGCGTGCCACCAATCATGTCGACTCGGGCGCTAACGTTACAGTAGGTGCAGGAACATAAAACAATTATCGTTCGGTGATTAAAACATTTCGGTCGAGCGTCTCTATTATAGCACAGTGGTTGTTAAACAACAAGACAATCAATCCCGTCGACGTATACCAGCGATTAATGTCGAGTCTAGTAATCGAATTCGTTCGTAATCGAATAGCAATTATTTCGTTGTCCCGTTCGGTCTACAACATTATAATTATTACGTCGTTAAGCATTCAAATGACTCGATAACAGTCGATTAGAGAAATAAATTGCACGATTTAATGGAGCGGCAGGCAACTCTGTGAAAAGAACCAAAAAGAAAACAGTAGGGAAAAATGGAAATTGCAATTCATGGGACAAAAGTTTCTCGGTTTAGCAGGGTCACGTAAAATAAATTCCGCTGATTGCTGGGATACGTCAAATATTAATTTTCACTGTATACATCGAGACCCTAACCGCGGTGATTCACAAGCAACGATACCAGGGCTCGTTGCCCGGTGAAAAAAGAAAGTCTAATTAGAGCCAAATCTAATTGTGGCGATTAACCGTGCCGCCACTGAAGTAAGTCTCTCTTTCTCTCTCCCACTCTCCCCCCCTCTCTTTCTCGCTCTCTCGTTATACAGCTCGGTGAATACATAATTTTCGTTAACAATTACACTACAGGCAAATAAACTCTAGGAGTAAGCTACACCGACGAAGATGCCCCGTTAATGACAATTAGGCGGTTCATATATTCGCTGTAACTGCGGTAAACGGGTGCCAAGAATGTCTAATTAACGCTGGCAAAGAAAGTGCGCCTACTGTGCCGTCACCTTGCCAGCTTTAACTGATTTTGCCAATGAAATTCATCTTATTACAGATATTCATACTCTCACAGTTCAAATTAACTTTGTCGAAAGTGATGGAAGAAGGGTAAATTTGATTTCCAAGAATGTGAATCTGATATGCATAACGGCGAATGTGATCCGCAGAAGGGTTGATTTGAAAATTCAGAATTAAAATTAGGATGTGTCATGAAGCTGGAACTTTTTCAAAAACTGCAGACAAAATTTTCTAAATTCACTAAATTTACTAAATTTTCCTAATTTACTAAACTGCTTTTAAGTACATACTTTAAGGCTGTATGATCTATAAATGTTTAACGCTATTTCTATCGATTTTTCGTATGCGCCTATTTTTTTTACTAAATTATCTTTTTAGAATGTCTATAGAAATAACATTACGATTACTATATGTAAACAATTACTATTATTACTATGATAATAACACTGTAATTACTATAGAAAAATTACTATAACTGCTATATTCCTATAACACTATACTATATTACGAACTACTAATTAAATAAATACAATACTATATAAAAAAAAATATGCAACAATTTATATTTAATTTCAATTTTCACCAAACGGATTTAAGGACACATTTTAATAATTTTTAATAAACATTATTTCCTGCGTCCTGTGTTTTCCATGTAATCGCTTCTCGACTTTCGTTATAGTCATCACAAATTAATTCGGTAAATTTTGTCGGTACGAATTTCAATTTCAATTCGCTACAGTCGTCGCAAATTAATTCGAAATAGATCTCAGTTCCAGTTGTCGAACAATGAGAAGTAGAGAAAGCGTCGGGGTCATAAAATCTCTATTACCCTCCAGGGTTCCGTTCGCTAAGCATCGCCGGGATTCCAAGATCAGCACTAGCAAGAACTATTTGCTCCACCAGGCCCGAGATTATCCAGTCTCGCTGCGATCAGGATCACGGAATCGATCGTCTCGCGTGCCACGGCAACAAGGACTCTATCCTGGGCTGATTGCTTAATAAAAGGGCCGGGCGACGATCGGTTTATTAATCTGTTAAACGAACCCCGCGTTCGCGGGACCTGGTGTTCCTGTACTATCGCGAGCCACACGGACAAATAACCCACGCATTAAATCCCGTTTGCATATTCATAAGAGAAGGAACGCATTTAAGCGAGTTAACGACTCAACGACCGCTTAATATTCTTGACAGCCACGCGACCCGCCGCGCCGTCATTTTGCGTTTTAATCGACGATGCAAATCATCGTTGACGTCGTCGCGACGCTCGTCGCCGAGTTTGCGTAATCCGCCCGAAGCGTCATCGAAAAATTGTTTCCGCCTAATTAACAAGCTGTCGCGCCGATCCAGGCGACGTGTACCAGGCATGGGATCCGGAAACTCCGACGGTTATACACCGAGTTAGTACTCGTGCCGCGGTGACAGTGACTTCGGTGATCTAAGTCTGTGCTTTCAACGGAAATTAACTCCTCGGACCGGTAATTATGCATGCAGTTGATAAGGAGCTGCAACACATTCTCTGTAATCGAACTTAGTTAATTGTCGATTAATCCGAACTTGTTGTATTGGCGCACAAAATTCGTATTGTTCGAAGACAGCAGGTATCAATCTCGAGGTGTAGGGTAGTTGGGCCGGTTGCTGCGGGGTGACCAATTGACTTCAATTCGTTTTCGGGCATAATTGATTTTTTATTCACCGAATAAGACGTATTAAATTTTTTGAGCCCAAAATAATTAGATCGGAAGAGTGAAAAAATACGAGCTATTAAATTACTTTTGTTAAAAAATACATAAAATATGTATTTAAAAATATACAAAAGACGTATTAAATTTTATTTTATCTAAAAATAAACAGAATGAAAGAATATAAGAAATAGGACGTATTCGATTTTTGT